CACTTTTACTACTGAGTGCCAACTCGAGAAACAAAATCCCATTGTCATCTTACTACGTAGCAGTAAGCGTTAATTAAGAAGCAATATCTCATATTGTGTAGCTAGAAGAAATTAACATATTAGTCATTAAAGTTGACTCACGGCATTCTTCCTGGGGGCATCCAGCCCTAGTTGATAGCAAGAATTCTTCATGTACTCTTTGGTCGCCTTTCCGCACGTCACCTACGGCATAGTCATAACCTGCACGAGCGAGTGCCAAGAACCCAAATTAAATTAATCGCCAAATAACAACTTGGAACTTGTGAAGAAGCACAAAATGCTAGAGTCCAGAAATAAAGGCAGATTAATTCTACTAAAGTTTTAAGATATTGATCTTTATGGTTTGATAACATGTGAATAGGAATTTTGGAAAAAAGTGGTGGCAAGTCATACAACAGACAAATAAATTTGTCCAAGAACTGATCCTCCATGTCCGGAGAGAACAATCACAGCTACATGGAAGATTTCTACAAGTTTAATTGAAATTTTATGAGCATATTAACATCCTCCGAAGTCTGAATCTCTCCACCTTCCACTCCATGGGCATTGTCTTCCATGTGATAAATGTAACTACTACTCCCAACAGAAGGTCAGAATTAACATGTTCAAATCCCGCACTTGTATTGATGGACAAACGGTTCATGACTTGCACACAGACAACTCTTGTGTGGTCAAGAAAGGGACCCATTCATTGTTGCTTCTTTGTTTCTCTGATCAGCTTTTTCTAGGACTGAACTGAAGAAGAGGTTATTTAGATTCAGAACCTAAAACCTTGCTTGTTGTAGAGTCCCTCTCTGAATTCCACATTTTTTGCAAGAGCAGTCATTGTACATCAAAATTTACCATGTGATTCATCAGGAAAAAAAGGAATGGAAAAATGCCATGCTACAAACATAATATAACTGAATACGCATTGTCATATACAGTACGGATTATAAGACGCATAGCTTTAATATCATCATTTTCCCACAAAAAAAATCTCTAATATCAACATTTTGCAGAGGGAAAGGCTTTAGATTTTTAGTGCATTAACATCAAAAGATAGCGCTAACAATAGAAAAGAAGTGGCTTATATTTAGAGAAGTGGTACAGGAATGAAAGGTAAGCAATATACATAAATAGCAAGATATTCTATGATACACACACACATCAGGTTTCTGATGGTCCACACAACATCAGAAATAACAATATATATCTAGAAAAGAACTATGTGGGGTTCTGTTATTCTGATCAATTGAGAAAGCCACAGCCTCCTTCCCATGAGAGCATGATCCGTGAATTGCAGCAGCTAGCCACTACAACATGAGAGGAGCATAGTTGCACGGCAACCGTCGGTGACCCAAGTGTAACGGAACTAACTGCTTGTGTGATCTTAATACGAATTAAATTGATGTACCCAATACGTTTGTCAAGACAAATCCAAAAACAAAACTGCTTGTGCGACCATACGAATTAAATTGCTGAATCTCGGTTAGTGGAAAAGATATTAATAACCTACAGGGTAAGATTCCAATCCTAATGTTTGCTAGCATGCATAACAATGTGACTCCCAGCATGCACCAACAATACGAAAAAATTAGAGTTGGAAGGCACCTGAATTCCTAATACAGAGAACATGATGAGCAAAAACTAATTCAAGTTCAACAGAACCAAATCCTACAGCTCACCCATCTTATGAGGTAAGGGTTCCTGCTTCCAAGATATATTTTTCTCTGCAAATTCAGATGAACATTATAAGGATAATTAATACATGGCATGGCCATAAATTATATCCGAAACAAAATTTGTTGAAGCAAGAACTTGAGCAACAATTTCCAACGGCGTGGGTTACCTCTGATCGCTGTGGGGGTGAGAAGGTCCTAAGTGAAGGACGAAGCAGCCATAGTGGATCCATGACCAGAGATGGCATCCTGTAGATGCCAAACCATAGAATATAGGGCATGTTTGCTAAAAGACCGCAACACCTCCGATAGCTCAATTAGGTCGGCTGAAGGTAAACAACAATTAAAACTAAAAATGCGCATCAAAGATAAATCGAAAAAATGCGCAGCAAAAACAAAAAGCATGCACATATATATATATCATTATGAGTGCCCAGATCTTGTTGGAGGTGCTGTGTCTAGGCAAAAAAAAAAGGTCAACACCTAACTGTAACTTCTTTATATGATTAAAAAAAATCTGCAGATATACATTTGTTAAGCAATAGGAGCCGGCGTACCCATGTGTCTTGAGACTAAACATGATGTAAATTAATTAGCAAACCATTATTCTAATAACCCGATTCACTCCCACCATCATAACATGTTTTGAATCATATGAAAGGAGATTTAGTCTCATGATGTATTCATGTGGAGTTTACCTCAAGGATCTGTAACTGAAACTGGTTCAGACAAACACACAAACACCTTGTGTGCAAAAAATAACTGAGAACATCCACAAGCACATGAGCGTCCAAATTTGAGGTGAAAGTGGTGCAGAGGGGACGGCCAGGTCGCCAGCAAGTGCAACGACGACCAGCTCGCGGTGGCTTTGGTCGAGCGGCGAACGCAAGCCCTCCCGAGCGGCACACAGCGAGGAGCTCGGGCACGCGGGAGAGAGGAGGAGCTCGGGCACGCGGGGAAGATGAGGAGCTAAGGTGGAACGGTGGTGCAGGGTGCTGTGATTGCCGGCGTCGGCGGCGGCCGGCGCGTCACCGGATCGAGCGCCGCACGGGCCGCGTGCCTCCTGGCGGCTGGGATCAGGAGGCGTGGGAGAGAGGAGAGCTCGTGCAGTCGTGCTCGTGTCTGTTTTTTTTTATTTACAACCCCGGACGAAACGTTTTTTTCACTTAAAAACAGGGACTGCGGGTTGATTTCTTAGAAAGAGAGGGACTTTTATGAAAAATTGCTGACGTACAACCAGAAGCAATAAGCGCTTTATTAGTGTATATATATATATATATATATATATATATAGGGAAAATCCATCCTACCACCCGGTGGTAGTTACCCCACATGTCTTATATACTATCATGTGGTATTATATACTATATTATTATTTTAAATATGTTCATATACTATATCTAAGATATTTCAAAGCAAGTTACATGAAAAAATTACATATGAGCCCATAGTTTTTGTTATATTTGTAAAATACGTACATATTTGTACGTAAAAATGATCATACTCAAAAAATGGTACATACTACCTAAAAATTAGTATATATACTACCTAATCATTGTTATATACTACATACTACACGTACATACTCTCAGTTCCGACAAATACTACATACAACATACAAAACGCAAGTGGTGGTAACTACCACTGCTTGTAGGAAACATTTGTCCTATATATATATATATATATATATAAGGTAAAGATAAAGATAAAGATATATACCAAACTATATTTAGATAGGTATATCGCGGGTATGGTAACATTTATTTGCACAATCACATGGTAACGTACTACATAGAATGCAACGCACATGCAACTATCTAGTCAAAAGAAAAGAGGCTTACCATATCATGTTCAATCACAACAGTCACGTAACAATGAAACCAAAACCCAAGTGGACAAACTCTTTGGAGTTAATTTCGACGTATTAAACATTGCATATATGTATCCAATCACCCATGATGTAGAGGGTGGGCTATTCTATCTTCCATTTTCCAAAAATACAAATTGGATCGAAGCGGCTGGAGCTATCTCACCCAAAAGAACTGAAAACCAGATGCGCGGACACGAAATTGCTGAATTTTCCAAACTTCTATTGTGCAGCAACAAAATGAAGCAGCAGAATATAACAAGAATGTTCCACGGACTCAGCCTGCCCACCTCCCCCTCCCCTCCCCTCCCTGCAAACAAACACATGTGTTGAGCTGCGATAGCCAGTATCCTCATCTCACCCAGAACCCACCAATCGCAGCGCTCCTTTGTATTCTCCTCCAGACGCACCCCTACAAAACCACGGAAAGCCATAATTTTTCACAACAAAGAGGAAGAGCACACAGACAAGTAGACCACGCGCCCACAGCCTCAGCCTCAGGTCTCCCTCCGCGCACCGCCACCACCACCAAGTACAACCAAATCCCCCGACAAAACCCCATCCACTCCTTTATCAGCGTTTCCCTCCCTTTCCTCC